CTATTATTGTTGTTTATAATTTGTACAATTAACCTCCCTGTGGTTCGACCCCGGTCTTGCCGGGTTATTTATTACTTCGACACTCCTGCACTTGGGAGAAGACATCAATCTTTTCATCGTGTCAATAGACTTGTTCTTTAGGGAGTTTATACGTTTGCATGGCATTCCTAAGAGTATAGTGTCAGATCGTGATATTAAGTTCCTTAGCTACTTTTGGAAGACCTTATAAGGAAAGTTAGGAACTAAACTCTTATTTTTGACAACATGTTATCCTCAAATAGATGGACAAACTGAGGTAGTGAATAGAACATTATACCAACTTTTGCGTGCTATAATTCAAAAGAATTTAAAAATTTGAGAAAAATGTCTGCCTTTTGTTGAGTTTGCTTATAATAGAATTGTACATTCTACCACTAGTTTTTCTCCTTTTTAAATTGTTTATAGTTTTAATCCATTAACTCCTATGGACTTAATTCATTTACCTTTTGAAGAAAGGGTAAATTTAGATGGTGAAAAAATGGAAAAGATGGTGAGACAACTCTATGAGGGGGTTCAACTATAAATAGAGATAAAGAATAGACTTTACGCTTCTAAAGAAAACAAGGGACTTAAACTGGTTGTGATGTTTCATTTCAGGTTTTAGAGAGAATCAATGACAACACATACAAAATTGACCTTCTAGGTGAGTATGGTGTTAACGCTACCTTTAACGTTGCTGATCTTATGTTGTTTAGCACAGATTTTGATTTGAGGTCGAATCCTTTCGACGAGAGAGAGGATGATGTGGACTAGCCCAAAAAACACCAACAAGGACCCATTACATGTTCCAAATGGTCCAATGACTCGGTCCAAGACAAAGGCATTGAAAGAGGCATTGAAGGCATTGGTTTTGAATGTTCCAACCAAGTTAGAATTGAAAGGTCCATCAAAGTATCAAAAGGAGACCCTAGTACATATTATCCATGTATAAGAGGGGTCCAATACAACTTTATTTTGGCTATGAGGTGAGGACAGCAAAGGAAACAAAAGAATTCTAACCAAATAGGAAGTGCATAAGTCAAAAGGAAGTAAATAACAAAATTTATACAGCCTCTGTTGACTACTTTTTCCATGTCTTTCCAAACTATGATTGACCTACAACCTTATTTTGGCTATCAGTGAAGACAACAAAGGAAACAAAAAAATTCTAACCAAATAGAAAGTGCATAAGTCAAAAGAAAGTAAATAACAAAATTCATATAGCCTCTGTTGACTAGTTTTTCTATGTCTTTCCAAACTATGATTGACTTGAAATTTTAATCCAAGGTAGGACAACATGTCTAGAGAATCCATATAAACTTTTAGCCTGATCTAACGGTTGGATTAAGAATTATGACTGTTTCTGTAAACCTAGAGTATTGCGCATTTTATGCTAGAATCCGAATCTCACCTTACTTAGGTCATATCATAAGGCTGAACCGTATCACTAACCCATTAGATTTGCATTTTACTCTAAAAACCCATTTACAACCTATTGGATTATAATGACTTGGAGGAGGTACCAAGTCCCATTTCCTATTCCATATGAGAGCAGTTAGTTTATAAGACATGGCCTCATGCTAGTGAGGTTCAAAGATGGCTTGGCCAATACATGTGGGTTCAATGGACTTGGGAATAAGGTGTTTGGTAGCACTATTCAATTATGTGGATTTAAAAATTTGGTTCATAGACCGAGTAGTCATCTGATGTGTTCGAGAGGTTAATGATTATGGGTGCTCGTAAATGATTTGTGGTTCAAATACAGATGGATGAGTGGATCTAGGTCCTATGGTAGGATGGTTAGTGGGTGTGGATGGTGGATTCATGGGGGACATTAAATTGGAGGAAGTAGAGAGTAAAAGGTACCTAGATTTGCAGTGACCATGGTGAGAGCATCAACCGAAGACACTAGTGGCAAAGGAGGCAGTATAGTAATTAAGACCGAATGAGGAAGTGTGGAGACAGTTGAGGGAGTGTGTGAGTTTAAGGAGGAAACTGATTCGGTCAATGGTATTTGATCTTCATCAAATAAAACATCTCGTGAAATACAAACATGCTGAGTGAATGGATCAAAACTCCTCTAAGCATTTTGAGTAAGCGAATAACCTAAAAAAATACAGGGTTTGGATTTAGGTTCCATCTTATGTTTGTTGTATGGTTTGGTGAGAGGGTAACACAAATAACCAAATTTTTGCAGTTAGAGATAATTGGATTGTTGACCAAAAAGAGATTGATATGGGGATATATTTTGTAGTGGTGTGGATTTATGATTGATAAGGTACATGGCTGTGTGGAATGCATGTGGCTAATAGGTTAAAGGTAGATTGGCATCATGAAGTAATGTGAAACTAGTTTCCACTAGATGATGGTGACATCACTTTGAGACACCATTTTGTTGTGGTGTATGTGCAGCGGTAGTGAAATGACTTATGCCATGAAGAGAGAGAAAAGGTTTTAAACTCATATATTCACCCCTATTATCTGAGTATATGGTTTGGATTTTTCTTTGGAACTAGTTTTCTACGAGGTTTTTTGAATTGTGGAAAAATTTTTGCAACCGTAGATTTTGTTTCCATAGAATAAAACATGTATTTCATGTAGTGATAAATGAAAATTAGATAATACTGAGAGCCATCTAAACTAACATAACGAGCAGGACCCCAAATATCAATATAAATAAGGTTAAAAGGTGCAATGCTTGATAGACTAGTAGATCTAAAAGGTTGTTGATATGCTTTATTAATAGAACATGAAGAACATAGAGATGACTTTTGAGCTATTGTGAATGGAAGTGAAAACTGATGAACAACATTGTGAACAATTTTGGAGGAAGGACGACCAAGTCATTTGTGCCACCCGTCAAAAGAGGTTTTTTCATTCACATTAGCGACCATTAAGAAGAGAGTTTCCACCAATGTATTTGGGAAGATGTAGACACCATTTTCACATGCACCTTTAACTAGGATCACCCCTTAGTTTGTGTCCTTTACAAGAAAATAAGACAGGTGAAATTCAATAAAGACATTATTTTGAGTAGTAAAATGATGCACAAATATAAGGTTTTTAGAGATATCTAGAACACAAAGTGTCTTTGAGAATGAAAGTTTTGTGTTTTGATTTTAAGGTAAAGGATCTTATATGTGAGACAGTTAAACCTTTACCATCACCGAGCACGATTTAATCAGTGCCATCATATTCTGAGTGAATTGATAGGTTATTGAGATCACCAATAATATTATGGGATGCAGTAGAGTCCGTGAGTCATTTATTGTCTGTGGCATTAAAGGAGGTAGAAGTTCAGTTTGTTGTGACTGCATGAGAGTTCAAGCAAGAGCATGTCTTGGTCGTGTGACCAATTTGGTCACAAAATTGGCATTTGGGCTGATATCTTTTTTTATTTGTGTTGGGCCAGCCAAATGACTTATTATTATACTAGTTGTCTTTATTGGGGCTCTGGTTTCATAAGAAACCATTTGGTTTTTTATGATTCTTCCAAAAAGAGTTCCCAAAAGTGCTCTAGCGATTTGTGTAATTCGCAGATGCCACAAGTTTTAGGTAGCCGATTCCAGCTACCGAAACTGTCATGACCAACTAGCAGATCATAAAGTTCTTTGAAGGTCAAGGATTGCTCACTCACACGAATTGGTGCAGCAATTTCCCTAAAATCAGAACCCAAACCATGAAAAATGTAAAGGGTTAGATCATCATCAGAGATGGGATGATCGATTAAAGCAATTTCATCAGCCAATGATTTTACTAAATGGAGATAATCTTGAATTGATCGATTTCCTTTTTGAATCAAGCCAAGTTCTTTCTTAAGTTGCATAGCTCTCATTCGAGATCGACTAGCATACATGTGATTTAGTTTTTTTCATGCCTCATGCAATGTTTTAGTGGTGGCAGTGAGAAGAGTGATTAAGGTGGAGGTGGAAGCAAGGATCACACTAAAAATTAATTTGTCTTGCCGAATCTAATGGGTTGTTTTCAAGGTAGATTGAAGAGTGCCATCAAATGAAGGGCACACTAATAGATTAGTGACGTAGTCCATCATATTATACCTAATTATAAGAGCTTCAAATTGAGCATGTCATTGTGGAAAGGTGGAGGGGATTAATTTCTCATTGTTTTGAGCTGTAAGGTTGAGAGCAATTGAGCGGATTTTTTGTGTGAAATGTGGGTTGATTGGTCAGATTTTGAGATGGAGACATGTTGGAAGCAAGATTGTAGTCTCATTTGAGTTATGGTGCTATGATACTATAAAAAAGAGTATAACAGTGTCTTTAACAGAATTTTTCCACACTTGTTAATTTTGTTGGGGATCAAATTTATACACAATGTATGCTGGAGGTAAGGAATTTCAATAAGTTAAATATAAAATGATTTGCAATTGTTTATCTAAAATACTGTTGTTGCACTATCTATTTGCATTAATAAACACATGATTTTCAGCTAGAAGTTTGGATCCATTTTGCCATTAGATTGTAATCTCATTTTATGGTGCTATGATACTATAAAAAAGAGTATAACAGTGTTTTTAACAGAATTTTTCCACACTTGTTAATTTTGTTGGGGATCAAATTTATACATAATGTATGCTGGAGGTAAGGAATTTCAATAAGTTAAATATAAAATAATTTGCAATTGCTTACCTAAAATACTGTTGTTGCACTATCTGTTTGCATTAATATACACATGATTTTCAGCTAGAAGTCTGGATCTATTTTACCATTGGTGTCTTAATACTGTAGAGACATTTCTAGCTTTACTTCTTTTCTTTTTTTTTGTTGGGTGTTTACAATTTGGGCAAAAAGAAATAACAGACAAAACATGCACGGAAGAATTCTTTGGGCCAAAAACAAGTTGAAAAACACTCTGCAATATATCCTTCACTTCACTTCGTCTGGTTGTGTTGTTTAGTTGCTCGCGCAATGTGGGGTGAAATATTGAAATATCATGGCATCTGAACATTACCTTTTCATGACTGGAACAAAGTCAATTTTGGAAAACACATTCTCAATGATGTGCAATGCCGATGAAGCTACTTCTCATTCAAGCTAATTTAAGTTAAAGACTTCACATACAAAATTATGACTCTATACAATTTCCCCACCATAGGCAAACAATATTTGTCGCAGCAGAAAAGATAATTGGAATATCGATTCAATTCCTCGGGTTATGATAAAATTCAGAATTCCCAGCTGCTGTGGGAATAGAATAGACAACAATGATTTCTGGAAACAAGCAAATAAAGACAGGCATCAGCATTTTAAACACACCGATTTCAGCAATTCAAGCCATCCAAAAATGTAATATTGGAACTAGTAAAAAACCTACACACTAGAGATCCAATTACGAAACAAATGCTAACCCATCATTAATTCCAAGCCAGGATCTCGTATATGTGAAGATGCGAACTTTGTGGTTACGAATGAATTGCTATAAAAGAATTCCAAGCTTTTCCTAATTTTCCAACAAAACCTGGATATATCTCCGCTAACTTTATTCAGGCATCGTTCAATGTTAGTGTATTAAACTGGATCTCACCTGAGACTATCTAAACGGTGGTTATTCCCGTCAAACATCTATTCTCAAAAGAATGCCGTATTATGTGCACAAAGACTGTTTATGTTCCAATGCTTAAGGCAAGCAAAGTCATGCCTGCAAGACCAGGTTGGGGTGTGGGAGGTTTAATCAATGACCTCAAAGATTCCATGACACTGGCAAAGGAAGGTCGTTTCCACGGTTCATGTAGTAATAAAAAAAAATGAGGTCAAAATAGCATGCAACTGAAAAGGTTGAAATAAGAAGCCAGATAAGACTCAATTAATGCAACCACTTGAGGATTTAAATCCCGAGGAATCTCAAGCCTTTTTCCCTTGAAACCAACAGCCGCTACAACCATAAAAATGAAAATAGAATAATCATCTAGGTGGTGGTCAAATGATAAGGATTTGAGATCAAGGGGTTTGCTCTCTCTGTGGTCTTAAATTCGAATCCTTGATTGCTCATATGATGGCCACTAGAGGCTTACATGGTCGTTAACTTCAGGGCTCGTGGAATTAGTCGTGGTGCGCGTAAGCTGGCCCGGACACCCACATTAATCTAAAAAAAAAATAAAAGATGAAAACAAGCATAAAAAAACATCACACAAAAATGTATGCGAATGATACAAAGCAAAAGTGGCCACCACAATAACCAAAATGACACAGAGTCACTTGCAAGCACTAAAATTAAATGAAACAATTTCAATAACCACACGCATTCAGCCAACCTGGCTCCTAAATAAGCTGGAAAAGCTTTGATAAAGAACAGGATCAGCTGCTTCACCCCTCAAGAAACAGAACTGGTCCCTATTTTAGCTCATTGCTGGAGCCTGGAGTGGACACCTTCAATATAGATCACGCTCATTTATGATGAACATAGAACTTCAGATAAATCCAAGAAACGTGAAAGGAAAGGCATCTATTTTGCATGGATATTTAGGCATAAAAACTAGCATCAGAAAGCAACTCCCCAACAAACGACCTTATCAGGAAAGCAAAAACACAATACATGGTTCCTCTAATTAGAGAGGCCTAAACTGGCAGACGTCTTTTAATAGTTACAATCATACTTATTAATACTGTAGATATGTTCCATATTATGTTAAAATTTTAGGTCAACCAGAATTCGATAATGACATACAACATAACTCAACAAATGCAATATAAATTTTGTTATTTGTTTTCTTTTAACTTATGAACTTTTTATTTGAAGATGATTCATTTCCTCATAATAAAAAAATATTCAACGGCTTATTTTTTAGAATTTTCTAATTCTATAAGGATCTTTAATGGGTAACATCATAGTTTTCAAGTGTGGCAAAGATTATTTTATGTTCCAAAATCTTTTCTTAGAAGAACTCCTTTTTTATCCTAACTACATAAGGAAATTAGTGCTGGAATATTTAATGACAAATTACTTTTTGAGTTGAATTATTTCTATGCATTAAGCTGAATTATTTTCAAGTTATATTTGTTATTTTATTTCATTATGTGTTTTAGTTTTCTTTTGTTTTGATGCAAAATTAATGTTCTAAACTATTTTAGACATTAGATTTGTATTAGCTGATTATTAGCTTGGATCTATTAATTTGCAACCCAATAAGAGTCTATTAGGATTATTTATAAGGATTATACATTGTTTTCTTTATTACTATAAAATTCAGCTGCCATAATATTTTGAATAAAGTTGTGTTTTGTGTGATGCAACCTTTTTTCTTCGTTGGGACAAAGATCAACAACTGATTTATCAAGATATAACCGACCTTGTGGCATATTTGTATACTTCAAGTTCTTGTTTTGCTATAAACTGCTTGACAGCTTTTTATGATCGACTTGTTTTAACTCACAAGTGCACGAGTGTGCGATGTAGCAATTAACTCGGTAAGATCGAGATCATATCCACAGAGAGCTAGATCTGGAAATTAAGTTAGGTAACAAAAAAAAACTCAAGAGAAATTAAATTAACAATAACTTGGTTGAAAATAATTGATGGATTTGTTTTCAAAGATGAAAAAGTGTGAATAGATTTTAAATGACAAGAAAAAGTAAGTCTTGGTCCAAATCAATTTTAATGGTGATGTATTGGTGATTTCTTCAACATATATAAGATAACTCAACCTAATCTCAACGATGGTGATATTAGATCAGAAGATATTACAATGAAGATTAGAAAGATGAAGATTGATTATTGCTTAAGAATGAACAAGTACTTTCATATTAAGTAAGACATTGAATCAAGCAATCTCTATACCAAAACTAAAGTTTGTGCATAAAAATTCAAGATTATAAAATTACCTAAATGATTTCTAAAATTTCTTTGCAATAATAAATCATTCATGAAGAAAATAAGAAGATAAACATTAAGATTCATTCATATCCTAAAGAACTCACCTCAATCACCATCATCCTTGATTCAGATCCAAGAAAGAGATTAGCCAACCATGATTATATATAAGAACACTTCAATAAACATGAAATAACTTAAATCAAACTGAAATAATAAGTTTTACAAACTAAAGAATCGAAATCTATAAAGAAGAACACAACACAATTTCAGAAAAAATTCGGACACAAATCTGACTCTAACTTTGGACAGCAATCTGACCCTCTTAGAAGCCTCCTCTCGAGATGTCTATTAGAGACAGAGACATATTTATAGGAAATTTTGTCACCTTTCTACATCATTAAAGAACAACTCATTTAGACACCTGAGTCAAAAGTTATGGGTAAAACACCGAAAGATGTTCTGAAAAATCAAATCAGGACAGCTTTGCAACCACTTTGGTACACGTTTTTCTTCCTCATTTATGAGCTGTCTATTTCTTCTTTTTGACCCAAAATAATGTAAAAATATCTCATCCAGCTTTCCATCCATGTGCTTGCCTTCTTGGATCAATGGATTACCCAAAATAAATCAATTGTTATTTGTTGTGTGGACATGTAAGAGCATGGATTCTGTTTGGGCTGATTTGAAGGTTGATTTGGGGTTGATTTGGGGCTGATTTTGGGCTGAATTTAAGCATCAAATAAGTATACAAATGTACCTATTATTTGGGCTAAGATTGACATTGAAACCTTGAGTGTTTAATGGTTGATGTTCGCACACAACATAAGGCAAGTTTGAGCTTGAAATAGATCATATGATATTCTTTTCTAGAATTGGAATAGAATTGATTTTTGGGACAAATTTGGAGCACTTATTTGAACCAAGATTTGCTTCAATCTTCAACTAAATGTCTCTTCAATTCTTTGTTCTAAATTCCAACATTGAATTTTTTGAATTAATTCATTTAAGCTCCAAAAACCTATCGAAACATTAAAACAAATTTCATTACTAAAAAGCACATCAATTATTATAAAAAAAACCAAATAAAAACAATAAATACATATGTAAAATAAGAGACTTAATGACACTTTTGATGTACAATCATAAACCACGGGTCCAAGTTCTTTTCCACCACCTTTGGTTCTTAGGTAGAGGTTATATCTAGGTTAGGTTTCTATCTAAACTTGAATTTCAACTTTCTTAGGTTGTTTATTTACATCATTGTAGGTTTCTGGATCTTTATAGTCACTGTTTTTTTTATGTCTTGTTTTAGGTCAGTTTTATTTTCTCTTCTTTCGATTTTGTATAGTTTTGTGTTAAGGATCAATTGCAAAAAACACAAAACAAAACAAAACAAAACAAAGCCCAACATTTAATTCTATCCAGAAAATCTATTTAGAGTAAAATAATAGTAATAATAATAATAATAATAATAACAAGATTGCAAATTTTGGTTTATATGAAGAGATTCATTTGAGTAACGAGGTAAATTGAAGTTTTTGAGTTTGGTGTTAAAATCAGCGGGGTACCTTTAGTTTCAAATTCAAAATTTTAGGTTAGAATTCCTATTCCATAAAGTTTTTATATTATATCCTGCTTTTCTTTCATCTTTTTTTGTATTTAGGTCATGTATTCACTGAGAGAGGGAACGAATAAGGGTTTTCACTCAAGAAAGCAAAGACATCTTGTATGTTTAGGGTTTTAAAGAAAGAATTTGTTAAGTTAAAAGAACTATTCTATGAAAGCCAAGCTTCAGAGATAGGAGCAACAACATGAAAAGAACGAAAGACGATAAAGAAGGGATGCAATTTTCATACAAAGTTGTTAAAAGTAAAAGTTGATAAGAAAAGAGCTCTGAAAAACTTAAACAAGAGTCCTATAAAACATCCATTATATCTATTGGTGATTTGAGTATAAATCATCTTGAAGAAAGGGAATGATATAATCCAAGAAAAGGTTGAATAAGAAAATTTGGATTATAACATAATTGTGTCTCTTATCTAGTTTTACGATTATTGGATCGAGTTGAAATTTTGTCATGAGTTTCCAGAAATATTGTTCAATATTGGTTAAAAATTCCATATCAATCGAAGTTTGGTAATGCCTTGCAATACATATCAACAGATGTAATGCAAATTTTGTTATTTATTATCTTTTAATTTGTGAACTTCTTACTTGTAGAGGATTCTTTATCTCATAATGCAAGGATATTCAGTAACTTAGTTTTTTTGGTTTCCTAATTTTACAAGAAACTTTAATAGACAGCATTATAGTTTTCAATTGTGGTAAGAATTCATTCATATTCCAAAATCTTTTTATCCTACAAAGATTCTTTATTTATCCTAACTACACGAGAAAAGAAGGGTTGAAGTATTTAATGGTAGATTACTTTTTGGTTGAATTATTTATTTGTATTACTTTGAATTATTTTAAGATTTTATTTATTGTTTTATTTTATTATTTGGATATTTACATTCAGTTTAGGGCTTGTGTTTCAGTTTGAGTTTTTTCTAGCCCAAAATCAATGTTCTATAATTGTTTTAGGCATTAGACTTGTGTTAGCTAATTATTAGCTCGAGTCTGTTGGTTAGCAATCCAATAAGAGTTCATTATAGTTATTAAGGAGGACTATATATTGTTTTTTTTCTTTTGTTATAAAAATTCACAGCCATAATGTTTTAAATAAACATGTGTTTTACATGATATAATATTTTTCTCTTTGTTGAAACAAAGAACAAATTTGACTTATCAAGGTATAACTAACTCT